GATAGCTGCTTTTCAATTATGAAACAGTAGCTGATAAGTAATCCCAAAGAAGAAAAAAGCAAGAAGAGTCCTCAAGAACAACATAAACAAAATCGCTCCCTCACAGTCACACCTCCCTGCGGTCTCTGTGCAACCCCTAGCTCACAAATCTCTCTATCACATCTCGCAGTAGTTGATATCATCCAGTGCAAAAAAAGAATACAAAAACAACAAAAACGCAGAGGAAAAACTCTTGGAAGGAAAAAGAAATTTTAAAAACTCGGTGTCCGAATTTGGGATTACGGTAGCGCACATTTTAGTGTAGTGAAGTGCGTCGAGCTTTTGCACCACGAAAATTGCGTCACTCGTGATTTTTACGCGTTTCACCTCGCGAAATGGGTTGAGTTGAATGTATATGCCCCCAATGAGTAAACTGTAATAAAGGAGAGCAGAATTATCCATGGGTCAGCAAAAAGGACATGCAATTCCGATTAATGCCCGCCGCCCCAACTAAGAACAACTGAGCGGCCCTCCGTCGGAGGGCATCTAGCAAGTAAGGCGGTCCAACTGAGCAGGCGTTAGAACTAGAACTTTCAGCGGCTGTAGCTCGCTCCTCGCTCGCTGTGGAGTCGAATAGAGTGGGACAGTCTCTAGCTTGGGGCTGTACTACTTGCACAAGGAAGGACGACCATGTACTACTCGAGCGCGGGGCTGTCTTTAAACTATCAGGAATAGTATTTCTACGGAGCACAGAACTTTCGTAGCACCACCAGCTAAGGAGAGGGTGAGGTGGAACAAGAAAAACTCTCAAGGAGACCAATTACGACCTCAGCATTGACTGAATGCGACACTGCCCCCCCCCCACTCTGCTCGGAGTCCCCAACGTACGATGTGGTGTGGCCGGAATGGGGGGGGGGGGTGGGAAAGGCTGAACTGACAAAACCATTTTACACGATCACGATGCTGCATCCCCAAATTCACCACTTTTCAAATCAAATTCACCACTCTTTTTAGACCGGGCAGTTCACCAACCAGATCACGCCAGACACCACTGCGAACCCTGCCCCGACGGTCACGCCTACTTGTCAGCGCGGACATAGATTTTCAACACATGGCCGACTCCCTTCAAAGGGTTTGTTGCGAACTTCGAAATTTCATAACTTTTTCAACTTTTTAATTTCACATCCACTCTTTGCACAACGAAGATACTCGTACCCGCGCATTTATGCACTGGCAATTTAGGCTCCGCCCCCTTGGCGGCGTGAAGCCCCGCCCACTGTTCAAAAATGGTGCAAATCGGCAGTATAGAGTTTTGGCACCATAGGGTCTCGTTCGTCACTCGGAAAAACTAAATCAGGCAAAGTTTGTTCCAAGTGACGACGAGACCCAGCATGCAAACCCAAGTCTCTATCTGTCCTACTGTTGCACCATTCTTTGGAAAGTTTGTGCGGAGTTTCTTTTACAGGTGGGCGGGGCTTCACGCACAAAATGCGAAAAAAAAACCAAAATACCCCACCAAAAGCAAGTAGGTCAAGTGCCAAGGGGTGCGGTAAAGTCCAAGTTGACAGTGGATAATATTCGCGAGTACGAGTCATCTTCGTGTGAAGAGGTGAATGTGAAATTAAAAAAGTGCTAACAAGTTTAATGAACAAATTAATCGAAGTTCTCGCAACAAAATTTTTGAGAGGGCAGTCAGGCCATCAGTGTGCAGAATCTGTTCGAGGATATCCTAATTGCTGTCCGGCGCGCTGACAAGTAGGCGTGACCGTCGGGGCGGGGCTCGCAGTGGTGTCTGGCGTGATCTGGTTGGTGAACTGCCCGGTCTAAAAAGAGTGGTGAATTTGGTTTGAAAAGTGGTGAATTTGGTTTGAAAAGTGGTGAATTTGGTTTGAAAAGTGGTGAATTTGGTTTGAAAAGTGGTGAATTTGAAGTAAAAATGGTATATATGGATTGCATTTATAAAATAGTTTACTATCTAATGTGAGGATGAGGATCTTGGTCGGTTAGAAAGTTAGTGTGGACTTCTGGAAACTACAATAGTTCTCGTACCAGCTATTATTTCTACCTAGAATTCGGCAAGTACTTCGCCGTACTGTCAGTAATGAGGGTTGGTGCTTACAATTAGACCACGTCATAGCATGGCATTTGATCTGTGAACAGCGAACTGTGACTGTGACGACAGTGGGATACCTTGAAGAGGATACAAGTTGAAAAAAGCAAAAATTATCTCAAAGTCCGTGAAGGACAACTCTAGTTCGCTGCGGACGGTTGGGCGTGTCAGGCAGTATGAGTGTGTCACCCGTCAAAGCCGTTCTCTGCCTTCTTGTTGAAGCGCGCATGCGACAAAAAGTGGTAGAAAACGAGTAATACGAACGATATGATACAGTCATATCATTTGCTCGCTTTAACAACTGGTGGAGAACGGGTTTGGCACCGCGCCAAACTCATCCCGCCTGACACGCCCAACCGGCTGAAAACGCCACAGAATCGAAGTCTTTATTTGTGTTTTTGAACACCGCTGCTTTCAAATTTCCTTCATATCAAAGGAGAATGACGAAAGTGATCCGCTCGTCGCTGTGAACTCGACAGTGACCGGCGTTTCGCTCAGCACGCTGTCCAGTTTCTTCTGAGTGAATGTATTTGTTGCCCTGAAATTTTCAAATGCCATCATGAACCCCATAATATAACATATAAAAATGCTAGGAGCACTAATTTTCGCTTTGAGACCGAACTCCAACCACGAATGCAATAAATATATTAGGTCATCCCATTCAAAAGTGCCGAGACATATAGAGGAATGGCAGAAAAGCAAAGGGGATAGGGCAGCGGGCTACTATACCATTTGGAGGCTAGTACCTTTAGCTATGTATCTGTGAAATTTGGTGAACCTACCCACAGAAAAAGTTCTCGGGAAATTGAAAGGAAGCCCGAGTGGTGAAAATCAGCGCAGTATTTTTGAATCAA